TATTGAAATAGTTTCAACATAAATTCACTCTCATATGTTCAATTGCTGTTTTAGCGTGCCTATATAAAACAATTGGACAGGGGCACTGCGGGGTCTCCAATAATCTCTTAATGCTTAATTTAAACCGCTTCAGTTTTTACTGTCAGTGTTCCTCTTCTAACATGCGAAAGCATGGGGATTTAATGTCATCTTATAGGAACTTTTACTTGGCACACTGTTGTTTCACTCATGCGAGAGCTGCACACTCACAGTCGACTATTTCTCAGTCCAATGTTTGTGCAGTGCACTCAAGCGCTTGTTCTCCCTTTGTTTGATTAATTGTGTGTATAGGCTATTCTAATTTAGGACTTTGGAAAAGTACCAAAATAGGTCTAGAATATTATATTATTGACAAATGCTTTGCATGAGCCCTAATCAGTCATTTTTACCATTGGAATGAAATACACACCAATGAAATAATAGAATAAAGCATAAAGAAAAGTAAGGAAGAGTTGTATACTACAAATATGCATACTGTTTCACCATCCTACTGTACATGTGCCCTTTTGAAAACCATGTGTCCATGCATTTATTGTTGTGGAAGCAGATGCCCCAACAGATTTGCTGCCTGGCTAAGTCACCACAGTGATCAGCTTAGGGCAGGCAGTTTAGCGAGAACCTCCTTCCACTAGAACTGTCTGTCTGCCTGAGGAGGGATTGGAGCTGACCATCACAGCTTAGAGCTGCCACTCTTCAAATGGGGACATACTGAAACATATCCGATTGATCTGGGCAGGTGGTGCTGAGGAAGAAGTAGCCTATAATATGTCTATAAAGAAAAGAAAAGAGTCTGCATACTGCAATGCTCTGTATGTGCCCAAGTGTGATGTATCAGGCCAGCTAAACAATGCATTGTTGCTTAGGTCTTTCATCAGGTCTCAAACCTTCTCAGAAGTGATGAACTAAGGGTCAAAGCAGTGTCTAGCCTAATTAGGCTGTGTTTACACAGGCAGCCCAATTCTGAGCTTTTTTTCACTAATTGATTTTTTGACCAATCAGATCAGCTCTGAAAAAGATCTGATTTGAAAAGATCTGATGTGATTGGTCAGAGAAATGCAGCCTTTGTCACACGTGGGAGGACATATGGCACAGTTCATAATGCTGACCAGGGTTGGGATCAGTGAGTCCCATTTCAATTATTTATATGCAGGAGATTAATTGAAATTCCTCTTCAAGAATTGAAAAGTGCCATTCATTTTCAATGAGGATTTTTCTAATGTATTCTTGTTTAAAATCCTATTTAGACTTTTCATTTTAACCAGGAAAATATTATTGAATTGGAATTTCATTGTTTATACAGAGCTGTGTGATGATGTCACTTTGTAATCATGATAGACATAACTGGCCCTATGCCACATGGCAATATTTCATCACAAGAGCTTTATGTCAATAACATTTAATAGCTACATGTATTACAACCATAACAGCTGCCCAAATGTTTCTACATCACCCAATTTCATCCTACAATATCAGAGTAGTGTATCTCCCATGCCCTCATAGGAGAACCAACAAAATAGAATAACATGTAAATGAAGAACAAGAACTATACTTTAGTTCTAAACAGTTCTACCACCTGTTTGCTTATCTCTGTTTTGAAGAGAGAGGCAGACACATGCTTTGCCGCAGAGTGCAGCACTTGTCTATTGCTGTTATGACCTCCTATTTTTAGACACTCCTTGAGTTTACAGTGTTTTCAGAAAGTATTCATACCCCTTGACTTATTCCACATTTTGTTGTGTTACAGCCTGAATTAAACATGGATTAAATGTTTGTAAAAAATCTCACCTATACCCCATACTGACAAAGTGAATGTTTACACATTTCTTGGAAATTAAATACAGAAATATCTCATTTACTTAAGTATTCACACCCCTGAGTCAATATTTTGTAGAATCATCTTTGGCAGCGATTACAGCTGTGAGTCTTTCTGGGTAAGTCTCTAAGAGCTTTCCATACCTGGATTGTGTAACATTTGACCATTATTATTTTCAAAATTCTTTAAGATCTGTCAAATTAGTTGTTGATCTTTGCTAGACAATCATTTTCAGGTCTTGCCATAGGTTTTCAAGCAGATTTAAGTCAAAACTGTAACTCGGCCACTCATGAACATTCACTGTGTTCTTGGTAAGCAACTCCAGTGTAGATTTGGCCTTGTTTTTTAGGTTATTGTCCTGCTGAAAGGTGAATTCATCTCCCAATGTCTGGTGGAAAGCAGACTGAATCAGGTTTTTCTCTAGGACTTTCTCTGTGCTTAGCTCCATTCCATTAATTTTTTTATCCTGAAACACTCCCAAGTCCTTAACGATTACAAGCATACCGATAACATGATGCAGCCACCACTATGCTTGAAAATATGGAGAGTGGTACTCAGTAATGTGTTGTATTGGATTTGCCCCAAACATAACACTTTGTATTCAGGACAAAAAGTTAATTGCTTTGCCACATGTTTTGCAGTATTACTTTAGTGCCTTGTTGCAAACAGGATGCATGTTGTGGAATATTTGTATTCTGTACAGGCTTCCTTCTTTTCACTCTGTCAATTAGGTTAGTATTGTGGAGTAACTACAATGTTGTTGATCCATCCTCATTTTTCTCCTATCACAGCCATTAAACTCTGTAACTGTTTTAAAGTCACCATTGGCCTCATGGTGACATCCCAGAGCGGTTTCCTTCCTCTCCGGCAACTGAGTTAGGAAGGGTGCCTGTATCTTTGTAGTGACTGGGTGTATTGATACACCATCCAAAGTGTAATTAACTTCATCATGCTCAAAGGGATATATTTTTTACCCATCTACCAATAGGTGCCCTTCTTTGCAAGGCATTAGAAAACCTCCCTGGTCTTTATGGTTGAATCTGTATTTGAAATTCCCTGCACGACTGAGGGACCTCACATATAATTGTATGTGTGGGGTACAGAGATGAGGTAGTCATTCAAAAATGTCCATTTGTATTTGTGTTTGTATTTATTATGGATCCTCATTAGCACTTCCTGGGGTCCAACAAAATTAAGGCAGTTCATACAATTTTAAAAACATTACAATACATTCACAGATTCCACAACACACTGTGTGCCCTCAGGCCCCTACTCCACCACTACCACATATCTACAGTACAGAAATCCATGTGTACGTGTGTGTATAGTGCGTATGTTATCGTGTGTGTGTATGCATGTGGCTGTGCCTATGTATGTTTTTTTTTTAATCTGTTTTTTTAATCTAATTTTACTGCTTGCATCAGTTACTTGATGTGGAATAGAGTTCCATGTAGTCATGGCTCTATGTTTTATTTTTATTTATTTATTTATTTAACCTTTATTTAACCAGGTAAGCCAGTTGAGAACAAGTTCTCATTTACAACTGCGACCTGGCCAAGATAAAGCAAAGCAGTGCAATAAAAACAACAACACAGAGTTACATATGGGGTAAACAAAACAAACAAAAAAATACAACAGAAAATATATATACAGTGTGTGCAAATGTAGCAAGTTATGGAGGTAAGGCAATAAATAGACCATAGTGCAAAATAATTACAATTTTGTATTAACACTGGAATGATAGATGTGCAAGAGATGATGTGCAAATAGAGATACTGGGGTGCAAATGAGCAAAATAAATAACAATATGGGAATGAGGTAGTTGGGTGGGCTAATTTCAGATGGGCTGTGTACAGGTGCAGTGATCGGTAAGGTGCTCTGACAACTGATGCTTAAAGTTAGTGAGGGAGATAAGAGTCTCCAGCTTCAGAGATTTTTGCAGTTCGTTCCAGTCATTGGCAACTCGTACTGTGCATCTCCTATAGTATGTTCTGGACTGTGAAGAGACCTCTGGTGGCATGTCTTGTGGGGTATGTACGGGTGACCGAGCTGTGCGCAGGTGCATCCAACATGTCAATACCTCTCATAAACACAAGTAGAGCTGAAGTCAATCTCTCCTCCACTTTGAGCCAGGAGAGATCAACATGCACATTATTAATATTAGCTCTCTGTGTACATCCAAGGGCCAGCCGTGCTGCCCTGTTCTGAGCCAATTGCAATTTTCCTAAGTCCTTTTTTGTGGCACCTGACCACACGACTGAACAGTAGTCCAGGTATGACAAAACTAGGGCCTGCAGGACCTGCCTTGTTGATAGTGCTGTTAAGAAGGTAGAGCAGAGATTTATTATGGACATACTTTTCCCCATCTTAGCTACTGTTGTATCAATATGACAGTTTACAATCCAGGGTTACTCCAAGCAGTTTAGTCACCTCAACTTGCTCAATTTCCACATTATTTATTACAAGATTTAGTTGAGGTTTAGGGTTTAGTGAATGATTTGTTCCAAATACAATGCTTTTAGTTTTAGAAATATTTAGGACTAACTTATACCTTGCCACCCACTCTGAAACTAACTGCAGTTCTTTGTTATGTGACTTGTTAAGCACATTTTTACTCCTGAACTTATTTGGGCTTGCCATAACAAAGTGATTGAATACTTATTGACTCAAGACATTTCAGCTTTTCATGTTTTATTAATTTGTTACAATTTCGAAAAACATAATCCCACTTTGACATTATGGGGTATTGTGTGTAGGCCAGTGACCAAGAATATCAATTTAATCAATTTTAAATTCAGGCTGTAACACAACAAAATTTGGTCAAGGGGTGTGTGTGTCTACTGTCTGTAGTTAGGGTGTATATTGTAGTTTAGGTTGCAAAATAGAAACTTTCCCCAAATTCCCCAGTTTAAAAAAATATAAAAATAAAAATTCCAGTGTGAGGATTACCAGAATCAGGAGGGAATGAGCAGTTATGTACAGAACATTTTAGCAATAACTGGAAGGGCCCATACTCTCCTCACCTATTAGACTGCTATCTCTTTCAGGTTCCTACCTCTTTGTGAAGAGCAGATGTGGAGGCTGCTGCTGAGTCATCCCATTAAGGGGGCTGTCTGAGGAATTAGCTAGTCTAGAATATCTGTGGAGCATGGTGAGAGACAGGAAGTCTGCGGTAGGGCTCGCATTTCGTGGAAAGATGTAAGAAGAGACCAGGGAGATGCTGGCATGCCCTTTCAGGGCCATATGTCATCACTGTCACCACACACAGAAGCACACCCCTGAAGTGCCCTAGAGTCCATATGTTTTTGCACTTTATGAGTTTTGTAAGTATGCGTATCGGCATTCCTGTTGGAGACTCTTGCCTTGTAGGTCAGTACGTTTCTGGAATAAGATATTAGGGGCCTGAATGCCATGCTCTCTCAGACCAACAATTACAGTTGAGTGTGTTAGTGGCTAGACCAGACTCTTGTTTCAGATCTGGTCAGGTAGACTTGAGTGTGAAACCCCTCAGCTATGACTAAGTCATCTGTCATCTGTGACATGGTGGAACTCAAACCCTCTTGTTCCTGGTCAAATTTTTCAAGTCACTTTTTTCAAAGTGTGTCAATCACCACTGGCACTATTCCTGGTTCAACGGTTAAAGGGGTAGTTCACATAAAAAGGTGAACTAACCCTTTAACCTTCCCTCTCAATGGATTATAAAGCTCTATTCACTGGATGACTGGTTTCTGTGTCAACACATCACTTTTTAGCTGCTGTTTTTATTCCAGAGTTTCCTTCTCATCACCACTGTTTTTTCTTTCTTCATTTTTCTTTGGTCCAGGGTCAGTATGGAAGAGGCAGACCTGGTCAAGGAGCGGCTCCAAGCCATAACGGTAAACTGACATCGAGTCCTGGTTCTCTTACAGCAAATAAACTACTGAATAATATCTGTGTCAAGTACTTTAAGGTTCACAACTTTCTTTTTTAAATACTTTATCTGCAGGATAAGAGGAAAGTCCAAGAGGACATTGCTCATAAAAAGTTGGAGATTGACAAGGAGAAACTAAAGCTTCAGCACTTAAAGGTACAGTTCGGTAATTTGACCATCAATGAAGAGATAACATTACAGTTTATCTTACTGCCATTTTGTCAAACCACATTGTTTCAACAACATTTGCTTAATTCGTAACTATCTAATGACAGTGAGAATACCAAGTATCAAAGCTTGCTGACAGTTTTTTGTGTGCAAAAATAACATGTCAGACATGACAGTTAAGACATAATGCTGTGTCACCCTGTCTTATTGTGAACAGAAAAAGTCCTTGAGAGAACAATGGCTCATGGATGGAGCAGCAATGCAGAGCCCACAGCAGAGAGACACCTTGAGGGGAGATCAACAACAAACTAAGCTCCTCCAGAACAGCATTCACAGGTACAGTAAGCCAGGACAACTGATACTCCATTTGTGCATGTCTAAACTGATCTACAGTATGTTTACATTACTGGTTTAACATGGCTGCCTGATGGAATATAGACCTTGTTATGTTGAGATATGTTTTAACAAATATTTCATCTTGGATGCTTCATTTGTTAAAACCTTACCCATATAAAACATTGGTACCACTTACGGTGAAGTTTTCGCTTTTAAATGGGGACACCTGTTTTATTTATTTGATTTCTATGCTCAACGGACAAGCACTGCATCACGTTGCATGCATGAACACCCTGGCAACATGTATTGGACTGTTTGTGGTGAAGGGCAGTCCATCAACTGTCCAGTTAGACCTACATTTGTCCGTAGATTGGTCTAAGTGGCAGTCAGTGCATTTCCTGAAAACCCTAAGGTGCTGGTAATAAGACAGCAGCAGAGTGAGCTTTAGGTTCACCAACTCCCGTAACTGAGATGGAAGTAACAGAGTTATTTTTTTTTACCTAACGAAAACCACCTTGGATTTAAACAAACAGTGCATTTGGAAAGTATTTAGACCCCTTCACTTTTTCCACATTTTATAACGTTGCAGCCTTATTCTAAATTAGATTTAAAAAATATATTTGTATCAATCTACACACAATACCCCATAATGACAAAGCGAAAACAGGTTTTTAGAATATACCTTATTTACATAAGTATTCAGACCCTTTGCTATGAGACTCGAAATTGAGCTCAGGTGCATCCTGTTTCCATTGATCGTCCTTGAGATGTTTCTACAACTAGATTGGAGTCCACCTGTGGTAAATTAAATTGATTGGACATGAAAAAAGGCACACACCTGTCTATATAAGGTTTCACAGTTGACAGTGGATGTCAGAGCAAAAACCAAGCCATGACGTCAAAGAAATTGTCTGTAGAGCTCCCGAGGCAGGATTGTGTCGAGGCACAGATATGGGGAAGGGTAACAAAAATGTCTGCAGCATTGAAGGTCCCCAAGAACACAGTGGCCTCCATCATTCGTAAATGGAAGACGTTTGGAACCACCAAGACTATTCCTAGAGCTGGCCACCCGGCCAAACTGAGCAATCGGGGGAGAGGGCCTTGGTCAGGGAGGTGACCAAGAACCCAATGGTCACTCTGACAGAGCTCCAGAGGTCCTCTGTGGAGATGGGATAACTTTCCAGAAGGACAACCATCTCTGCAGCACTCCACCAATCAGGTATTTATGGTAGAATGGCCAGACAGAAGCCACTCCTCAGTAAAAGGCACATGACAGCTCGCTTGGAGTTTGCCAAAAGGCACCTAAAGGACTCTCAGACCATGAGAAACAAGATTCTCTTTGGCCTGAATGCCAAGCGTCACATCTGGAGGAAAACTGACACCATCCCTACGGTGAAGCATGGTGGTGGCAGCATCATGCTGTGGGGATGTTTTTCAGCGGCAGGGACTGGGAGACTAGTCAGGATCGAGGAGCAGATGAACAGAGCAAAGTACAGAGAGATCCTTGATGAAAACCTGCTCCAGAGCGCTCAGGACCTCAGACTGGGGCGAAGGTTCACCTTCCAACAGGACAACGACCCTAAACACACAGCCAATACAACACAGGAGTGGCTTCGGGACAAGTCTCTGAATGTCCTTGAGTGGCCGAGCCAGAGCCCGAACTCAAACATCTCTGGAGAGACCTGAAAATAGCTGTGCAGCGACGCTCCCCATCTAACCTGACAGAGCTTGAGAGGATCTGCAGAGAAGAATGGGAGAAACTCATTTACATTTACATTTTAGTCATTTAGCAGACGCTCTTATCCAGAGCGACTTACAGTTAGTGCATAATTTTTTTTTTTATATATATATTTTTTTTAAAATATATATATATATATATATTTTTTTTTTTCATACTGGCCCCCCATGGGAATCGAACCCACAACCCTGCCGTTGCAAACGCCATGCTCTACCAACTGAGCTACATCCCTGCCGGCCATTCCCTCCCCTACCCTGGACGACGCTGGGCCAATTGTGCGCCGCCCCATGGGTCTCCCGGTCGTGGCCTGGATTCGTACCAGGATCTCTAGTGGCACAGCTAGCACTGCGATGCAGTGCCTTAGACCACTGCGCCACTCGGGAGACAACTCCCCAAATACAGGTGTGCCAAGCTTGTAGCGTCATACCCAAGAAGACTTGAGGCTGTAATCACTGCCAAAGGTGCTTCAACAAAGTACTGAGTAAAGGGTCTGAATACTTATGTAAATGTAAATTTCCGTTTTTGATTTTTAATAGATTTGCAAAAATGTCTAAAAAACAGTTTTTGCTTTGTCATTATGGGGTATTGTTTGTAGATTGATGAGGATTATTATTTTTTTAATCCATTTTAGAATAAGGCTGTAACGTAACAAAATGTGGAAGAAGTCAAGGAGTCTGAATACTTTCCGAATGCACTGTATACAGTAGGTATTTGTCACTATTAAAAGATGGTATAGTGTTCTGGCCATTTTGTTTCTTTAGTAAGAGTGAGGAACATCCACAAATACACTCATTCTGCCTCCCCCTTCCTGCCTCCACCCATCTCAACGGAATGGACACTTGTTAGTATTTCACAGGGTAGGTGCCAATCTGTTAGGGTCGTACCGCTTTGGGGTATAGCCATTTGGACTGTAGGTGTCAAGTGGCAGGGTTGTGCCATTCTAATGGGGTGATTTGATGCCAGTTGGGTGGGATGGCACAGCATTGGATGGGGTTGGCAGAGGTGGGATGCCCGGGTGGTTGACCCTGAGTCTGTCTGGTGCCAGCCATGATCAGTTTGCCAAGTTACACCTCTGACAAGATAACAGTCAGAAAAGGAAATCTTCAGAAGATGAGAAAACTGTCAGTCCACTGATCCGTTCCTCATCCCTTCTCTGCCTGTCTATGAGGTGATATGACCTTTGACCCTTTCTGTCTCGGCTTGCAGGATTGAGAAAGAGATTGAGGCTCTGGAGAGGGAAGAGACGATGATATCGAAAAACGAGGGCTTCATACTGAAGAGGCTGAAAGCTATCGAGAAAACCCCTGAGGAGATAATAAAGGTACTTGGACATAACATAATTGATATTGAGATATTTCTGGCTTAGATGTTTTGCTTTGGCCACAATGAGGGTACTGTTAATCTGAGGATTTGTTGATCTGAGTTGTATCTCTAAAAGTGCTGTTTTTATGTTGTCTTACAGGAGGCAAATGAGAATTTCAAAGAAGGTAAGTCCTTTTGCTAGCTTGCTGATTGCGGTTTTCATTTAATGTATTTGATCAAGCATATTACACTATACACATAATTGGAAATACAAAAATAAACATTGCTCCTTTTCTTTCGCAGAGCCAATCCATATCGCCCCAGCTAGTCCAGATGTCCCAAAGTACTACAAACCTCAAATTTCAAGGAAGCAGTCTAATAAGGACACACCCAAACAAAGTAAGAAACTTCATAGTAACATTAATTACAACAATAGCATGTACTGTAGATATGACAAAACCCTATTTTTTTAAATCTAACTTCAACCCCTCTCTCTCCATCTCTCCCGTCCTCGTACTCTCTGTCTCTCCTCCTTCTCTCCTCCTCCAGCCATGTTTGCAATGGAGATCAATGTCCAGAAGGACCTCCGTACCGGGGAGAGCCGGGTCCTGTCTACATCCACCGTCACTCCCCTTGAGCTCCAGCAGAGAGGAGTCAAAGTCTATGACGACGGCCGCAAGTCCGTCTACGCCCTGCGGTCTGATGGGTCTCACCTGGGGGATGGCTCTAAAGGAGTGGATGAGCTCAGCCCTATGGAGGTGGAGGAGCTGCTACGAGCAGCCACAGAGCAGAAGAAGTCTCAGAGTGGACCTCGGGAACCAGCACCTGCATTCTCCTCCAACTGTGGCCCTCGTGGCCCCCAGGAGCTCAGCCCTATGGAGGTCGAGGAGCTGCTCCGAAAGGCTACAGTGCAGAAGATGCCTCAAAGCGGGGCTTTCCCACGGGACCATCAGGTTCACCAGGAATCAGTGCCTGCATTCTCCACCACCTCCGGTAGGAGGGCCTCGGCCTCAAACAGGCCCCAACAGAGTCATGCTAAAGTCCTCCATGGAATCAACGGGAACGGGTATCAGCAGGAGTTGTATGAGCATGACGTCCTCTCCAGGAAGGAGCTCCACTACAATGATGGAGTCCACTACTCAGGGCCGAAGAGTCTCTCCTCCTCCCCTCACATTCCAGTCCGCTCTATCATCTGCAGGCAGGACGAGGAGTACTACCAGCCAACCAGTGGGTACAACCAGAACCCTTTCTCCTACGGCGGGGAGTTTCACCCCACCCACAACTCCTACCATAGCCCTAGAGAGAGCCAGCAAGGCGGGATGTTTTACAACTCGTCGGCTAAAAAGGAAACATCTCCGATCTACCAGGAAGACTCACACTTCAGTGTCCTGAACGCCATAGACACGTCTGAGCCTGTCTCTGCGATCTTTATGGGCTACCAAACCGCTGAGGATGATAGTGGACGTGGTCTGGGCTACGAAGGATCCATCCGGGCCGAGCTTGTCGTCATTGGCGATGAGGATGGGGTGGACGAGAGTAACCCTCAGCTTAACTCCTACAACCCAGACGGATACAACAACTGGGGTTACCATCACTCTCAACCTCAACAGAAATTAATACAGTACATGGCAGAGCCCACCGCTAATTTTAACACTAACTACGTGTCACCGTACACAGCGTCAAAGAAGTTGGTCTACCCTGGTCAACAGACCAAAGAGGCACACTACCCGTATTCAGACGGACAGTTCGACAAGGACAGAACAGTGAAGTACTCAGCCCCAGGTATCAGAAATATTAAAAATATTAAAAAGAGAACGAAGCCATGCTGCTCGCTCATGTAACCAACCTGCAACTGCTGACACTAGCTAACTAACATCACTTCCTTTGCTTTCACTTTTGAGGTCTCTCATTGGCTGGCTAATGTGTTGAACTGGATGCTGGGTAGTTGGGTTCTCTGTTGCATAAGTTTTTTCTTGTCTTAACCATTGTAACACAGACTGACCTGAAACTCTCATTCTAATCACTATCACTGTATACATACATAGTGTATCCATACCAGAGCTTGTTGTGATGCTTCAAATCAAACTCTGCCTCTCTCTAGTGGCTGAGAGGCAGTAATGCTGTAACTTTGGTTTCCGACACAAGGCCAAAATGTGCTTGACTGCTTGTATAATATGTTAAATATTATTTGATATTTTTTATGTTTCTACTTTTGGATAACAACGATAGAATTGACTTTTTTACTGACATATTTTAAATAACTAGTGTGAAGGTACAGTGCAAATCAAATTACGCTCTGATTAAATAATTGTTTTGCACTAACTTAATATTTATTATTTTGAATGTGTGTTTTTTTAGAATCTCTTTTCTACATTGTAATGTTGTTATACCATGGCTGTCCTCTGTATACTTACAGTAATATGCATGATTGCTTGCCCTGTAACTTAAATAATAATTAACTCATTATTGACTGGCTTAATCCTCGTGTAACAATGATCTGTTTGATTATGTGAGTGTGTGCGTACATGAGTGTGTGCATATAACATGCACGTGTGTGTGTGTGAGAAAGCGGTTGCGCTTTTTGAAATAAACATGTAACAATATGCACTGAGTATACAAAACATTAAGAACACCTGCTCTTTCCATGACATAGACTGACCAGGTGAATCCAGGTGAAAGCTATGATCCCTTATTGATGTCACTTATTAAATCCACTTCAATCCGTGTAGATGAAGGAGAGGAGAAAGGTTAAAGAAGGATTTTTAAGCCTTGAGACAATTGAGACATGGATTGTGTATGTGTGCCATTCAGAGGGTGAATGAGCAAGACAAAAGGTTTAAGTGCCTTTGAACGGGATATGGTAGTAGGTGCCAGGCACACCGGTTTGTGTCAAGAACTGTAACGCTGCTGGGTTTTTCACGCTCAACAGTTTACCGTGTGTATCAAGAACAGTCCACCACCCAAAGGACATCCAGCCAACTTGACACAACTGTGGGAAGCATTGGAGTCGACATTGGCCAGCATACCTGTGGAACGCTTTTGACACCTCGTAGAGTCCATGCCCTGACGAATTGAGGCTGTTCTGAGGGCAAAAGGGGGTGCAACTCAATATTAGGAGGGGGTTCCTAATGTTTTGTACACTCAGTGTATTTCTGCTGAACTATTTTTGGGTATTTGTTCAATGTTTGCTTTATTTATCATTAATACATTTCATCGCACCGACACTATGTAGCTAATGAGATTCAGTACAAAGTGGAAGAAAGTGCATGGGAATATGTTAAGGTCTTCAGTAGAACTGTAACTGAAGCTGATGTCAAACAGATGAATAATTTCCTAGACATAACCATCACCGTGTTATTTCTAATCACTTCACATCTGAGGAGTCAAAAGAAGACGGATAAGACATATGTTTCACCCAACAACACTCTCACCACATCTGACAGTGCTAACGACCTCTCGGTCCAGACATCAATCAGATCATTAGACATGGATGTCTCCCGAACTAAGAGGTTTTTAAAACGAATGTGTCATCCTGTAATATGCGATTGAGACACACTTATATAACTATAATTTGAGTTACATAAATGCCGATGACACATAACTGAGGACATACACCAATCTTAGCTCACCAATCTTCGCTCTCCTGTGGATGGTTCAGACAGTGTTTTTCCTCACAACTGTGTCTGCTTGGTGAGTAGTTGGAAGGGGGGTGTTACTAAACTTCACAGAAAGGCTTGTCCCATACTTTTGTCATGAGGTTATTTCAGGACACACATTATTACAAACATAACACGACTAATCTGGATGAACCTTAATTAGTCCTAATTGATGTGATATGATATTTACATGGTACATTTTCTCTTACATTCCCTACAGCTTCAAGTACGTGTATGGAGAAACCTGAACAGTTTGTGTAGAAATACGCCATGAAAGACTCATCAGCCCTTCAAGTTCCATGACGAGAAAGGAAGAAAACCAACTTTGCACAACACATTCGACTAACACCAAGCACGCTTCTGTGAGGCCATCAATAGCTAAAACCAGAGCTTTATATTTGGATTCTAAATATAACTCTCAATATAAGGTTCTGTTTAAAACTGTAAAACATATGTTTGCTCATAATGTTTCCTTACACAGAGTATTAGAGCTTAAAATATACAAATTGTCATTTAAAGAAGGAACAACCAGTCTAAAACAGACTTTTGAAATGAATATCTGATTTTAATGCAAAATCTGCAAGTTCCATGTTCCTGAAGATATACAGTGCATTCGGAAAGTATTCAGACCCCTTGACTTTTTCCACATTTTGTTACGTTACAGCCTTATTCTAAAATTGATTAAATAATTTTTTTCCCCTCATCAATCTACAGACAATACCCCATAATTTTTTGACATTTTTGCAAATGTATTAAAAAACAAAACTGAAATATCACATTTACATAAGTATTCAGACCCTTTACTCTTTACTGTACTTTGTTGAAGCACCTTTGGCAGCGATTACAACCTCAAGTCTTCTTGGGTATGACGCTACAAGCTTGGCACACCTTTATTTGGGGAGTTTCTCCCATTCTTCTCTGTAGATCCTCTCAAGCTCTGTCATGTTGGATGGGAAGCGTCGCTGCACAGCTATTTTCAGGTCTCTACAGAGATGTTTGATCGGGTTCAAGTCCGGGTTCTGGCTGGGCCACTCAAGGACATTCAGAGACTTGTCCCGAAGCCACTCCTGCATTGTCTTGGCTGTGTGCTTAGGGTTGTTGTCCTGTTGGAAGGGAAACCTTCGCCCCAGTCTGAGGTCCTGAGCACTCTGGAGCAGGTTTTCCCTGACCAAGACCCTTCTCCCCCGATTGCTTAGTTTGGCCGAGCGGCCAGCTCTAGGAAGACTTGGTGGTTCCAAACTTCTTCCATTTAAGAATGATGGAGGCCAATGTGTTCTTGGGGACCTTCAATGCTGCAGAATATTTTTGGTACCCTTCCCCAGATCTGTGCCTCGACACAATGCTGTTTCGGGGCTCTACGGTCAAGTCCTTCAAGCTCATAGCTTGGTTTTTGCTCTGACATGCACTGTCAACTGTGGGACCTTATATGGACAGCTGTGTGCCTTTCCAAATCATGTCCAATCAATTGAATGTACCACAGGTGGACTCCAATCAAGTTGTAGATACATCTCAAGGATGATCAACGGAAACAGAATGCACCTGAGCTCAATTTCGAGTCTCATAGCAAATTGAATACTTACAGTGGGGGAAAAAAGTATTTAGTCAGCCACCAATTGTGCAAGTTCTCCCACTTAAAAAGATGAGAGAGGCCTGTAATTTTCATCATAGGTACACGTCAACTATATGACAGACAAAATGAGAATTTTTTTTCCAGAAAATCACATTGTAGGATTTTTAATGAATTTATTTGCAAATTATGGTGGAAGATAAGTATTTGGTCAATTACAAAAGTTTCTCAATACTTTGTTATATACCCTTTGTTGGCAATGACACAGGTCAAACGTTTTTCTGTAAGTCTTCACAAGGTTTTCACACACTGTTGCTGGTATTTTGGCCCATTCCTCCATGCAGATCTCCTCTAGAGCAGTGATGTTTTGGGGCTGTCGCTGGGCAACACGGACTTTCAACTCCCTCCAAAGATTTTCTATGGGGTTGAGATCTGGAGACTGGCTAGGCCACTCCAGGACCTTGAAATGCTTCTTACGAAGCCACTCCTTCGTTGCCCAGGCGGTGTGTTTGGGATCATTGTCATGCTGAAAGACCCAGCCACGTTTCATCTTCAATGCCCTTGCTGATGGAAGGAGGTTTTCACTCAAAATCTCACGATACATGGCCCCATTCATTCTTTCCTTTACACGGATCAGTCGTCCTGGTCCCTTTGCAGAAAAACAGCCCCAAAGCATGATGTTTCCACCCCCATGCTTCACAGTAGGTATGGTGTTCTTTGGATGCAACTCAGCATTATTTGTCCTCCAAACACGACGAGTTGAGTTTTTACCAAAAAGTTATATTTTGGTTTCATCTGACCATATGACATTCTCCCAATCCTCTTCTGGATCATCCAAATGCACTCTAGCAAACTTCAGACGGGCCTGGACATGTACTGGCTTAAGCAGGGGGACACGTCTGGCACTGCAGGATTTGAGTCCCTGGCGGCGTAGTGTGTTACTGATGGTAGGCTTTGTTACTTTGGTCCCAGCTCTCTGCAGGTCATTCACTAGGTCCCCCCGTGTGGTTCTGGGATTTTTGCTCACCGTTCTTGTGATCATTTTGACCCCACGGGGTGAGATCTTGCGTGGAGCCCCAGATCGAGGGAGATTATCAGTGGTCTTGTATGTCTTCCATTTCCTAATAATTGCTCCCACAGTTGATTTCTTAAAACCAAGCTGCTTACCTATTGCAGATTCAGTCTTTCCAGCCTGGTGCAGGTCTACAATTTTGTTTCTGGTGTCCTTTGACAGCTCTTTGGTCTTGGCCATAGTGGAGTTTGGAGTGTGACTGTTTGAGGTTGTGGACAGGTGTCTTTTATACTGATAACAAGTTCAAACAGGTGCCATTAATACAGGTAACGAGTGGAGGACAGAGGAGCCTCTTAAAGAAGAAGTTACAGGTCTGTGAGAGCCAGAAATCTTGCTTGTTTGTAGGTGACCAAATACTTATTTTCCACCATAATTTGCAAATAAATTCATTAAAAATCCTACAATGTGATTTTCTGGATTTTTTTTTCTCAATTTGTCTGTCATAGTTGATGTGTACCTATGATGAAAATTACAGGCCTCTCTGATCTTTTTAAGTGGGAGAACTTGCACAATTGGTGGCTGACTAAATACTTTTTTTCCCCACTGTATGTGCCTTGCAAAAGTATTCATCCCCCTTGGA